GATAGAATTCCTGAAAATGAGGAGAAATATTCTTTCGAAAGATAGCAAATTCTTGACAAAATGCTATTGGGTAGCTACCCGGGCCCATGGTACGATATCTACCAGAGCTGAAGACAGCTTATGTAATCTCTTGCTCCTGAAACGACCTTTCCAGCCATCTCTAACTGTTTTGGGAGAGCCACTTGAAAGGAATGTCAACCCTTGATAAGCATGATCTCTTCTCAGCTGTTAAGCATTTTTGGTAGTATTGTTTTATTGCAACATCAGCTTGGTCTCTGTAAGAGTAGTTCCTGACTAAATATATTGCTGCCTCAAGCACAGTAACATCTTCGGATACCTCCCGTAGCATGGAAGAATTTGGTACAGCAGTCCCCATCCTTTGACCATCTGAAACTTTGTCACCGATAAAAGGCCACCTCTAACCTATGGTAATCTCAGAGTTATGCACTAGTTTCCTCGCTTAACTAAATCTATGGTCAGCATTTCTTCTCCAATCCTGTATGTGATCATTTCCATCTTTAAATAAAGCTGATATTTAACCTGAATGTTGCCCAAAACTTCCTTCTGCCACGGCTTCAACCATGTTTTCAATATTTCTAACATTTGGTGTATTGTGTCCAGCCCACCTGTCAACGTCCAAGGACATCCACCTCCATAATTAGAACAGGGAGCTATCCTCTAACCACAACATTTGAACCCAAATCATCTTGGAGTTTTATTGCCCACATTTGTATTCCAGCATCATCAATAGATGGTTAGAAACTGGTTTTGGCATCCTACCACTATAAGGATACTAGGAATCACTCTAGTTTAGAAAAGATTGGGTTCGTGTTACTGTTTTGGACCAGGTGTAGCTGGCTCCACAGTGCTGAATTCAAACAACTTGTGTCTTTCCGATGAAGTGTTCGAAGCCTTCCATGCCCTCGGTCCTCCCACTCTGCCTGCTTTTCTCATGGAGGCTTTCTTGTACATTAAAATGACCATAGGATGGTGCTCGATGGATTGATGCTGTTTAGTTTATTCCAGAAGTCCTCCCTATCTACTGGTCTATTAGGGCCATGTGCTGATGTTAAAGCCATCAAGCTTTAGCAGAAATGGACGAAATTGGTAATCAAACTGGTTGGACTGCCAACCGGGCCCCAAAACAGTTATAGCCTAGGAAAAAAACCAGATCTTGGAAAAGCATTTAAACTTCTGAAAAAAATTAATATATTTTAAAGTTTTCACAGGTTCTAAATGGTCCAAACAATTTAACTACTGGTTTTTTAAGGTGTCAGTGGGAACGGAAGCCACAACATGCAACTGAGGTATGGGGGGTGCTACCACCACGACCCCAACCCTTGAACCACTAAATGAACCAGACATAACACGTCTCTTTTTGCTTTCCAGTCTGGTTCTAAAAACACTCGTTAAAAAGTGCAATTAAGATCAATTAATTGGCTCGTCAAACCATAGTGAGATAGACCAGTTTGTTATCACTCTCTGATCGCACTCGAGTAAAAGCAGATCCCAGATGATTCATATTCCCCCAGAGGCTCCATTGCGGGTTTTGCACACCAGCAAGCAAGAATTTTACCTCAAAAAGACCAACTTGAATTGAGATCTGGCTCCTGCATTTCTTTTTTTTGGGTGGGGGGTTTAGATCACTAGGGATTACAAGGCCCTACCTGTTTTGGAAATAGTCAGATTTTTTAATGCATTAGTGAGAATGAAGGCCGTGACCTTCAACTGGGATTACAGGCCCCAACTTGTTTTATTCTTTAATAAAATCCTCTGCCTCCTCATAGTGTCTTCCTCCTGCTATCCTTCCCTAGAATCTTCTATTCCCTGGAGGGATCTAACATCTAGAACAAACAAAAGGATCTAGACGATACACAGTGATCCACCTGCATATCATCAAGCACATGACTATCTCCTGTTGGGTATCGTCGTGGTCAAATTGTATTGGGGCTGAACTGCAACCAAACTCCATACCCCAGAGAATCTAGCCTCGACATCCATGTATTTAGATAACATCTCCAATCTGCATGAGGGACATCTATGGGGCTTGGAGAGTTAGCTCCAATGACAAACTACAGTCGGCTGAACTTTGCTCTGCCCAGCTTTCATTTCCTGCAATTTGGTTTTTGCGAAGATATCTCTTGCTATGAACTACTTCTGGATGACTACTATTCCTCTTAACCAATGGAATCGTAGTGATATCTTTTCATTCTCAGGTAGCCCCAAGATGCACTTTTTCACAAGCCCAACTCTCCTTCCTATATTACTTTCCCTTCTTCTTCTTATGTTGAACGAGGCAGAGCGAGACGTTTGGCTGCCTGATCCATGGTTCACAAATTCTCCAAAAAAAAGTTTACAAGTGCAGTTTTCTTTTCTAGCAAAATAGAAATCTCTTCCATTGTCCACACCTCAAATAAGTGTTGCAATGTTCAGAAAAGCATAGGCAAGTGCCTAGGCTTTTTGGGGGCTTGGGCGCCCATGAAATCCCAAATGACATTGCCATATATAATTTTTATCAAATATTTGGTTTTGGATATCAAATATTCACAAAATATAAGTCCAAATCAGTAAATGTTCCATCTACAAATATGTAGAAATATCCACAAAGTAAAAAAAAAAAAAAACTAATAGGATATCAAAACATCACATATTGTACAAAAAAAGAATCAATTATTCATAAAAGAATTCAATAAAGGCCCAATTTCATAGTCCAAAGGAGTTAATAATCAATTAATCACAAAAAAATATAACATAAAAGGAAAAAAAAAGTTAAAAAAAAATCAAATGATTCAAAAGATAATACATTATAGCAAAAAATATCATATTCCTTATTCAAATATTATAATGGCATAATGCTCTAAAAATATCAAAATGAAAACAATGTCGGCTCAAACCTCGTATATTTAGTTGCAGAAGTCCTCAATTTCGACAACTAGAAGCTCTGAAAATTACCACGCGGTATTGTTTTTTATTTCAGAAGAAATCGGAAAAATTAAAAATTTATCGATCTTTCGATAAATCACAAAATGGAGGATTTTGGGAAGTTTTTCTCTCTCTAGATTGCACGGATTTACTTTGGGGGGTTTAGAATGTGCCCCCAAAAAGGGGGGAAATTATTATGTTGACCCTAGCCAAGGGCATTTTTCCACCCTCGACAACCTGCATCGAGGCGGCGCCTAGGCGGCCACCTTGACTATAGTGCGCCTAGGCGGTGCCTTGCCCGCCTAGGTGGGTGCCTAGACGCAATCAGCCCTGCCTAGGTTCTCCTTAGGCATTTTAACCAATTGGCCACCTAGGCAGCTGGGTGGCCGAATTTTCAAACATTGGAGTGTTGTATTTTCTATAATTGACTCATTATTGTTAAAGTTGACCGTACAAGTTAAGGTTAACATTATCAAAAAAAAAAAAAGTTGACTGTGCAAGTTATTATTAGTAAACCATGTTTTTTCTTTAGCACAATGGCTTTTGAGCTAGCCAATGCTTCTTGCTTTCAAGCTGTAGTTTGCTGGCTTTGACAAGACTTGGCTACCTAGCATAGCGAGTGCCTTGTTGCTACACATCAAAGCAATCACTCCTAGCTAGTGGAATGGGGCCTCCAATGCTGCACTGAGCAACTTCCTCAGTACGCTCCCCGACATAAATGACTTTTTTGGTTTGGCAGGCTAAATGCCACATTGATAGCATAAACGGCCAAATGAGATGGTTACGTGGACAGATTGGCCTCCATATCCAATCTTAGCCATGGATGAGGCAGCACAGATGAACTCATTGAATGCCACATCAATCAAATATATCTGCATTCATTGTTCAACGAGAGACTAAGCTATTTCAGAGATTGGACTCACTGGTATCTGATTAGTCTGGGTTGCTCCCGAGTGAGGTTCCTGAAACAATTCTGACCAAAATGGATTTTTGAAGAAGGGGGAAGGGGAAGGCAGACACAATGGTCAAACACACCTCTTTTTAGCCGAATAAAGCCGGTAGGATCATCCACTACACGGAGAGAAAGATTGAGAAAGCAACCTACAAAGATTAAAAAGACAAACAGAGATTTTGGCTCTATTATGATATCATGTATAAGGGAAGAAGCCCTAAAATTCCACCCAAAAGTTTGACGGCCGGACACCTTGCTAACATTTGATAATGAGAATTTTAAGAGAGAGTGGTGACATAAAATAATGCTAGAAAATTAAACAAATAGAAATTAGATATACCAATCTTGCAGAATCTCTAAATGAAGTGAAAGTTGAGTTCTAACTTCTAACAGTAGTAAGTCAAACCATAGTTACAAGGATCTCCTACTTTGGTAGTCGATCCCTTCTAGGATCTCGATTCTATCGCGCCAAGAACGCATCTCTCAGGGATTTCGATTTTTAAATTTTGGGATCTTGACCCCACTGATAGGGATCCCGATTACCGCAGTCAGGGATCTCGATCCCAATCTTAAAGACCAAGACAACAACCAAACCAATGATTTTCTTTGTTTATAGCGAACTAGCAACACAACTATTGCTTGCTTTCTATCAATAATAAGATCCCTACTTTAAAGAGTATACATAATCATAGATTATCATACACTTTAAGGTTGGTCATACGATCCCCAAAAAGTTGGGATCAAAATCCCAAAAGGTTGGGATCAAGATCTCCAAAAGGCTGGAAACTTAATCCCTAACATGAATATTGTATGGACGGCGTTCCCAACCATAGGGATCTTCTAGCATTTCACGATCCCTTGCTCCCGATCCCGATCCCAGTACCGTTCCCACTCCCGATCCCAACAACTATGAGTCAAACTGCAAAGAAGAAACTGATTAAAAAGTCTTGAAGGGTTACAAAATCCCACTGGCATATAGTACCATCTCTTCATATATAAGTGAAGAGCTTTTCATCCCAACAAGTATGGATGCACAACTACAACCCACACACGCTTTTCCAAAATTAAAACCGACATGAGTCAAACAAAATCAAATTTCACATAAAGAGAATAATAAGAGAGTTACCTATACAATCATTGAGACAGATGGTACACGTATGTAGAGATTTACAAAATTCTTCGCGGCGTTTGTAATCATTGTAACTCATCAATAAGGGAATATCAACCTCTGGAGAGGTGCAACCTGAATGAGCACGCCCATCTCCAGCATTTGACGTATGATATGGACCTAGTGTGACCTCTTTGTTGATTCCCAAATGGGTAAAAGAAGACCTGTGAAGCCACTCAGCCCATTGATATATCACAACCTGCCCAGGTTGCTCCACCCAGATTTTGTCAAGCATGCCACAGAGATCAGAAATCCTTGAAGAGTTCCACCATGGAACATATAGTGTGAAATGTGGAGGAAGATGGCTTGGATATGATCGAGGCAACAAGCAAGTCAAAACAATTGGAGGGAGATGCTGAACTTTGAATTGGTACAAAAAGTTTGCATCATTTGTTGAAGAACTTTCTCCAAGATGAAATCCTCCTGAGGTTGAATGGAGTTTTGCAGATATAGAAAAGTCATCAGAAGCTTCAATGTGAATGTGAATCTGCAAAATCCACAATTTTGTTATTTTTATCTTTTGAAAATAATTTTGTCATTTTTTCCATAAACACAAGTTTTTTTTGGGGGGTTGTATACTATGAGACCATTTATCTTTGTTACAAGGCGATCACAATTACTCCTTGCTATTAGATATTTTGAATGGCTTGGGGTGTGTCACGAAGTTCAATATTTTTTTTTTGTGTGGAAACTTTGAGTCTAGTCAATAGCACACTTACAACTACCCAATTGGAAATCTACTAGACAAGAGTGATTGTACGTCTTTGTAGCAAAAGTAAATGGTTACTTTATAAACTTTTCCTGGTTTTTTTGTTTTTTTGGGAGAAATGTATAAAATATAAGTCATCTTTTCAATACACATTTCAAATCTAAAGTTCCTCGGGTTTCAAAGAACCTGAAGTGCATGTAATTCTCCATGACTGTCAATGAAAGAGACATCTTCCCCATAAATTGCCTCCAATGCCAATAACTGCAGAAAATGTGATGGTGATGAGAAACCATAAGGTAGGCAGCACATACAATCTATTACTGTATGAGATGCTAAATGCAATCCTTAGGAGCAGCTTCTGCTTTGCAATTGATACCAAATCCAAAGAATAAACCTGGCATACTATCAGAAATCAAAATTAAACCTGAAGCACTATCAAAATCAAATTTCATATGAAGACATGCCGATATCAACACATGCAAATCACACTGCAAGCAAAGGAAATGCAGAGAACCCTATCAATATTTGCATAACCATTTTATAACTAAAAGATCACATGATGATGCACAGCTTTCCAAGATTGACAGAAAGTCCGTTTCAAAGGGTGAATATGGCAGTTGAACTAATGAGATCACTTCTTGTTACTAACATGGGATCTAATTTATAAGAAGCAATGTACAGCAATAGCCACATTAGTCACTGATGCATGGTTGGTGTGCAATTCTAGGAAGTCCGTGGTCATTGGACCCGCTTTCACACATTATAAAATCCGTAGAAATTAGAAAACCACCATATGGTTCCGGTTTACTAACCAAATAGTAGGGTTACAACCTAGTGAACTGACTTTCCCACGCCAATAAACTAGAGAATCTTCGGAGTTTGGAATCACTAACAACATAATGATTTAGATCCCTCAAACCTTGAGTATACTAAGGTAATTTGCTAGTTAACTCACTGAAACCAACGAATAATGCTTGCCACCAATCATATTTTCATGCATGGAGCATTATGGTACCATATGAGTTCAGGGGCACCTTCTAATGCCTAGATAGATTGGTATGATCTTTCTAATGCATAAAGGTGAATAGATTTTGGAAGCACCAGTGCATTGACTTTTCCTAAAGTACTCATGCATGTCGAGGTCCAGTAGAACCTCATAACTCATTCTCTGAATTAGCTAGTGTAATATAATAGACGAGGTCACTATGCCAGAGACTAAGCAATGGAAACTCATGATTCAGACTTTTGGTACAAGGAAAACCCCGAGTGGATCAACTTTCATCTCAAGAACTCAAAATAGGTTGCAATATTTCATATTTGAAATATTACAGGGAGAAGACAGGAAAAACTGAAAAGAAGAAAAGGCTTGGAAATCAAAAATATATATCTCAGCTATTTTAAGAAATTGTTGTCAAACATGATTTGGGTACAATCCATCAATCCACAAAAAGGTTGAAAAACAAAAATTGGGTGCCAAAATAAAAACATTAACAATTGCGATCCTCATTATCGAATAATAAAAGAAACTGTAATCCTCAAATGAACGATAAGTGTATCCAATGCAGATAATCAACTGACCCTCGATAATACTTAAAATCCAAACTGGGGTATCAACTTCGATGCAGAAAACAGAAACAATAGAAAATATTAATTCAAGATTTCCCGAAGTCAAAAACCATACCTCATCCTCTTGCTCTTGGTCATTGATTCTTAACTGGTCTTCTGACAATTGGGGTTCCTCAAAACCAATTGAAAGCTCCTTCAACCTATTAACAATCCCTTCTAGGGTTGATGAATAATTATCTTCCTTACTACTAGAAAACTTTGGCTCAGGCTCGGGCTCGGGCTCGATCTTATCGCTAGAGCCAAGCTCTTCACAAGCGATGGGAGAACCACCAACAGAAGAACTATCCCCCACACCAGAAGTACCCATCTCAGATTCATCACTACTTTGACAGTTTTCAATGGTGGGGGGTCTATCAGAAGAGGTGGGTCGCTTCAAAGGCCTTCGATCTCTCGGATTTGATGATTTTTGTGAGGTTTGTCTGATGAATTGCGCTATGGGTATGAAAGATCTATCCGTTGGTTGAGGACTTGAGAGGGGGCTTGAAAGTGGGTCCTCTGCAAGTGCAACGGATTCATGGTGACGATGCTCAGACTCTTGATTGAAGGGGGTCACGGTCCATATTTCATTGAGTTGCAGGTCCCTACCCTGCTTCACTTTCCTCCCCTTCTTCATAGTAAAAGATAGAACACGAGTGAGAGATTGAAAGAGATGCAGTGTGAGAGAGTGGGGGAAAGTTTCAGAGGGTGGGGTTTCAACGAGTCCGCCGACTTCTCTATTCACATGCGTCCTCTCCCAAATTCCGATCTAGATCAAGAATACACTTTCCAAGATCCTAGGCATAATCCTCCAATTTGGATGTGGACTTTTGGATCCAAGTTATCTCCTAGTGAAGTTTGATATATTAAAAAAAGATAAAATTTAAATTTTTTATCCCATTTGGAAAACTTAAAATGTAGAATTAAGGTGCACCTCGTCCAACATAAAATGTTGTTTTAATGTTGGAAAACCATTTAATTGATCAAGTGAACTTTATCGAGATGTATGAATATGACAAGAAGAAACGATTTCGAGTCCTAAAAATAATATATCTTGCAACGCATTATCCGAATTGTTGATTTTCAAGATTTTCATGTGCTGATAGATCTACTTGATGTGAACTATTTATGAAATTTAAAATTTTATAAATAGAGATCAAAATAGATTTTTGTGTTATCCTAAGAAATTTTTATACCAAAATTATATTTATGATAAAATTTGGAAGGGCGCCTCAATTTGATTGTTTGATGTTGCAACCTTATACAAATCATACCCTTATCTTTTTATTGTTGATAAAAATTTAAAAAGAAAAATATCTTCATATCCCCTATTTTTAGGTTTCATTTATTTATAAGGGAAAGCTTTTTATGTTTCCCCTACAACATAGAAGTTCTATCCTCTCCTTTCCATCCAGCCGTCCATTTTTTATCAAGAGAGTCACTCACCATTTGATCTTAGATCTAATGTCTCAAAGTATTTTATATTTAGTTTTTTTAATACAAAATTTCTGAATATGAAATTTAGTATCTATCATCTTCTCATTGGGGCGCACTTATAAAACATATTAACAATATTTTTTTGATAAAAAATAATGACTAAAATATCTTTTGAAAATTTTAGGAGTATTTTGGTCACTTTATTTTATTGAAAATATTTTTTTTATATTTTTCATTAGTGCGAGTTTAATAGAGGAATGGACATTCAAAATTCGGTGTCAAAATAGTCTATAGAAAAAAATTGAAAATAAAATAGTGTAAAGACGTGACATTGTGAATGGGGCAATCTTTGCCCTCCATTAAAAAATGGACGGTTGGATAAAGGGGAATATTGAACTTCTATGTTGTAGGGGGAACATAGAAAGCTTTCACTATTTATAAACCCGGCATGTAGGGGGGTCCAATGGTCATCTAACCCTTGATGTGTGTGGGGGTTCCAATGGTCATTTAGTCTTTAATGCGTGTGGGACATCCAATGGTCATCTAGCCATTGACAAGATGGAGGCTTGGGAACTCCAATGGTCATCTAGCCATTGACAAGATGGAGGCTTGGGAACTCCAATGGTCATCTAGCCATTGATGAAATCGAGGCTTGGGATATCCAATGGTCATCTAGCTATTGATGAGATGGAGGCTTGTAACAACCTATGAAATGCATGTAACTCTATAACAAGGGCCCTCTTACTCATGTAGCTAAATGGGCCCTCTTACTCATATAACTTGTAGCTAAATGGGCAGGCCCTCCTACCCATAAAAGTTAGCTTTTTTTTTTGCAGCACATTTTTAAGCCTCTCAATGTACTTTTTTTATGCAATTCCAGCAACCAAACCAATGGGTTAACTCTCTCTCTCTCTACTCGATTTTATTTCTTTCTCTCTCTAATACATCAAGACCCTAGTGTATATTGTGTGGGTTCCAAGCTTGAGTGCATAGAACTTAAGAACATTGTTATAAGACCTTTTTGTTTTCCTGTATCTTGAGGACAAATTGCCCTTCTTATGCACAACAAATACTCAATTAAAAGGGGGCAAATATCGTCTTGAGATAGTGCTCCTACATTCCCGAAAACAAAAAGAGTTCGAGATCCTATTTTGTAAATTATACCTTTTCCTGCCCCTATTTCACTCACCAAAACTCCAACAATTCAAGACAATATTTCATGGGTGAAAGAAAGGAAACTGCCATGACTTCGTTGAAGGTCATGAATCACGACTTTACTCGACTTGAACGCTTCAAGATCTCTTTTTGCACTTTTAAAGTGGCTTATATAGTCACTGAATCAATGCCTGCACTACTGCCACAATCGTATGACTCCACTAACGAGCAAACTCACTCATACAAGGGACGCATGGAGGATGACTATATATGTAGGATTCATATCGTAAATGCCTTGGCGGACACGATCTATGACATGTATGCCTCCATTGGCACGACAAGAGAGCTAGGGGAATTACTTGAAACCAAATACCTCACGGAAGAGTCTAGTAACAAAAGATTTCTATTATCTAACTTCCTAGATTTTAAATTCATTGAAAACAAGCCTATACTCTCTCAAGTACATTAGTTGCAGCAGCTTGTAGTCAATGAACTTAACGATTGTAGTATTTCTTTGGATGAATACTTTCTAGTTGGCTCAATAATTCATAAGTTACCCCCCATCTTGGAGAGTACCAAATGAAGGTGAAACACAAGAAAGTTGATCTTGATTTAGCCTAACTTTAAAGATTTATTCAAATTGAAAAAGAGAATAGATTTATGGAAAAGAAAGATGAATCAACTAATGTTACTCTAAGGCAAACCTTGTTGAGCAAAAATCAAGTGCTCTATATACAAGAGGGTTTTCTTTTCTATGGTCTATAATGAAAATTATAAAGACCAAAAGTCTATTGCCAACAAAAAGAAGAAAAAAGCTACTTGCATGTATGTGGAAAACCGATACATTTTTCAAGAGAGTGCCAATACCGAAAAGGGCTCAAAAGGCTTAGAGACCAAGTGAACTTGACTACTAAAGAAAATTTTATAGCAATGGTCATCAAAGTAAATATGATCGATAAAGACAATAGATGGTGGGTTGACAACGGCGCTACCATTCATATGTCTAACAATCGAGACATATTTAAGACTTTTAAACCAGTGGGTGACGGTAATTCAGTTCAACTTGAAACTCAAGCTATAGCAAATATGCTTAGAAAGGGAACAATGGAACTAAAGTTTAGTTCAGGCAAGGCACTCACCTTAGAAAATGTGTACTACATATCAGACATGAAAAGAAACCTTGTTTCAAGATGTATCTTAAACAAGAAGGGCTTAAAAATGGTCATTGGGTCTGACAAACTAATCTTGACAAAAAATTATGTATTTGTTGGCAAGGGATACTCGTGATGGGATGTTCAAGTTTGATCTTGTTAATGAATGAATTTTTCTTCTGCATATGTTGTTACTTCTTATAATGTATAGCATGGTAGGTTAGGACATGTTAATTATACTTCAATTAAATTTTGGTTAAATTATGATTAAATTTCTAATTATGATGGATTAACTGAAGAAAAATGTGAAGTATGTGTACAAGCTAAAATTACTAGAAAATCATTTCTTTCAATTGACAGAAATAGTGAATTGCTAGGACTTTTCCGTAGTGATATATGTGATTTAAATAATGTTATAACTAGAGGTGGTAAAAGATAATTTATTACCTTTATTGATGATTTTTTCTAGATTTTCTTATGCTTATTTTCTGTGACATAAAGATGAGGCTTTTGAAAATTTAAAGTTTTCAAAACGGAAGTTGAAAATCAACTTAGTAAGAAAATCAAAATTATTAGAAGTGATAGAGGAGGAGAATATTTGTCAAATGACTTTAATGAATTTTGTGAAAATAATGATATTATTCATCAAGTAATTGCTCCATATATCCGTCAACAAATTGGACTAGCGGAAAGAAAAAATAGAGCTTTAGTTGATATGGTGAATGCAATGCCATGCTTATCTCCTCTTCTTTGCTTTTGAATTTGTGGGGTGAAGCTTTATTAAGTGTATGCTTTATTTTGAATAGAGTGATAAGACTCCTTATGACTTTGGTTTGATAAAAAACCTTCTTTGAGTTTTTTCAAAGTATAGGGTTGTCTTGCATATATTAGACTTCCAGATCCCAAAAGAAATAAATTGACTCCTAGAACATCTAAATGTGTTTTTTTGGGATATTCTCAATTCAATAAAGCTTATATATTTTTTAATGTAAATTATAACACATTTTTGGAATCTAGAGATGCTGAATTTTTTGAAAATCTCTCTTGTAAAAGTGAAGTGAATGAATCAAGTAGCATGCAATATGAAAATAATCTTGAAAATGATGAATATGTTGATGAAGAACATGTAGAAAATAATGATAATGATATAACATAATCAAGAAGAAGTAAGATAATTAGAAGTGATCCATCTTATAACTTTGGACCTAACTTTTATATTTATATTGTTGAGGCTAATCAAAATAAAAATTAGAGTTCATTACCTATAGTCTCAAATGTGGAGGAAGATCCAACATCTCTAAATGACGCTTTGGCATCTCAAGATGCAATTTTTTGGAAAGAAGCAATAAATAATAAAATGGATTCCATTATAGCTAATAAAACTTAGAAATTGATAGATCTTCCACCAAGTTCTAAACCCATTGGTTGTAAATGGATTTTTAAACGAAAAATGAATTCTAATGGTTCTATTAATAAATATAAAGAATTATTAGTTGCTAAAGGTTTTAAACAAAAAGAAGGCATTAATTATTTTGGACACATATGCACATGTGGCAATAATTATACCTTTTTCTGCCCCCATTTCACCCACCAAATTTCCAACATAAAATGTAATTTTGATACCGCAAAGCCTTGTGATGACATTAAAATATATTCTTGCCCCTAATTATGAAATTTAAAGTTTCAGAAATTGTGGCGATAACAGATCTATTAACAATTAAAAATCTTGAAAATATATAGTTGAGATAATGTGTTAGAAGATGAGCTATTTTTAAGACTATAAATCCCTTATTTTCAAGTCTATGAATCTCGAGGTCGAGATGGTCGATTTGATAGTTTTCCAGCATAAAAACAACCTTCACTAGTTGGTTTGATTTGATAGTTTTCCAGCATAGAAACAACCTTTACTAGTTGGTTTTTTAGGTGCACCTTACCCGCACATTATTGTTAATGTGT